AAACAAGAAAAAAAGATTTAGATTAAAAAAAATTTTTTTTTAATCTAAATCTTTTTCTCTTGTTTATTTGCTCTAATGCAAGATTTTTGTCGCTCTGTAATTTGTCATATTTCTTGAATAGTTTGAATATTTTGTTGAGATCACTATTACTTCACTCAATTAATTGACTGTTAGAATCATAACTGAGCATAAACATATAAACACTTGGATCAAGTGAGATTATCTTTCTTTGAACATTAACTTAATTATTAATAATGTCTAGAGAAATGAAAATACATAAATAAAAATGTCCTAGATGATTTATAGTAATGTTTACTATGTTATTAATCTTTAATAATTGTTTTGAAGTGACAATATCCTTTAAAAACATATATTCTTTTTTGTTTCTATTTCAATCTCTAGCAAGAATTGAGATAATTTGTATTTGATTCTTCTTTGATCAATACTTTATTCAAAAATTATTTTTATATAACTTCTTGTTTGTTTTATATACACTTATTAATTGTCCAATCACATATGAACATGCTTTTCTAAAAGTTTTTTTTATCTATAAAAGTTCTTTAGTTATAAAATATTAATTGTTTAGGTAATAGCTTTGTATAATACTTTTATCAATAATCCCATTATTCTGTACCATTTTAAGTATTTTATTGTATATTCATATTGTGGCTTCCATCTACTTTCTTAGCTTTTCTTTTTCTTTAGGCATTGAATAAATTCATATTTTTTGTGTTTTTAATCTTTTTTTGTCGTTTTCAATTTTTAGCTAACCTAAATATAGTAATAATTGAGATTCTCAGCAAGCTCATTGGATTTGATATCATTAACGTTGATGTCTAAACTAAGTATCACAATCTTAGTATTGTGTTTAATAAAGAGATAGTTTTTGTAGGTAACTATAACCTTCTTGATATCTCTTTTGGTATGATAATTCCAAAATGAATATAAAATTTTTGCATTTCCAGTTAAGACCTGATCTGATGTTCTTAATAAGTGGACATTTTTGCCTGAGGTACTCACATTTAGGGCTGTTAAAAAGTTTGTTAGATCCAATCTTTGCATTAACCTCACATAAATCTTTTAAGACTAACTTCTAATTTGTTTTTGACAAAGTCTGAATATAGGAAATTTTAGTTTCTGTATATAGTAAGGTATTTATGTAATTGGCTGATTTTGTCGATTCAATAAATATTCCTGGGAACTTATACTTATACTATAATATAATAAAAAAAATATTTCTAATTTGCAAAACCATTAGTGTTTACTATGTAATTGACAAACTGGAAATATGATCTGATTTGTTATTATAATAAATTCAAATTAATTTAAGCTGATTCTAAATCTCTGTCAATTGGTTATGATTAATTATATTTTTAAATAATAACTTATGCAAGAACATTAAGTTAATATTTTTTATATTTAAATAATTATTTAGCTAAACAATATCTCGTGATAACTTATGCAAAGATTTGGTATATCTATATACTTATTAATATCCAAATAACTCATGTAATTATGTAATAAATTAATTAAGTATTCTATATGAAAGTATAATATACTAATATTTTATTGATATCAAATGAATTATACAAATGAGTAATATATCAATTTACAATAGACATATATAGGTATAGTGCATCAAAGTCTTAAGTTCTATATTGAATAACTTATAAATGAATATAATATGTCCATTTGTCTATATTATATATTATATGAACAAAAAGGTAGACTGTATTGTATAATGCATTATGTATAATGCAAACAGCATATACCTAACAATAATTAGCTAGCTGAGTTTAAATTAGAAAAATAAAATTTAGATAAATAAATAGAAGGAAAATGACATGTAGACAAAATAAGCTTAACTTTTATTTTTATTAACTTTGCAACTTGTATTGTAAATAAAAAAATCTTTGCATCTCTTAAAACTGTTTGATTTTTATACAATTGTGTCACTAAAAGATACTGAAAGATTGATCAAATTTTTTAACATATCAGTATAAGTTAAAAAATTACTTTATAAGAAAAGAAAATAACAAACCTAAAAGTTTAGCAAAAGAGAGATGAGTAACAAAAGAAAGACATTAAATAGATAAATATAATTAATTCTGTACGTACAAATAGTAACTTGTGTCACATGGATCTGAGATACACAACTTTCTACATTTATATATTAGAAGTTAATTGATATTGATTAAACATAATTATATAAGCTCTTAATATTAATATTGCATACAGTTTCGAATTAATTAATGTCAATTATGAATTTATTAAAGAAGACTTTGTTTATGATAAAAAATTTTTATATAATTATATTAATTTATGTTTTGAATACTATATTCTTTTATTCAATAATAAAAGCCTTGAATTTTTCTATTGATTTGATTTTTTTAAAAAACAAATCATTGATTAAATTTGCTTCTAGAATTTTTTCTAATGTCTTATTCTAGCTTACTTGTTTCTTCAATTTTTAATTCTATTTCTTTGGATCTTGATTCCACTTCTTCTTTAGATCTTAATTCCATTTTTTCAATTAATTCCCAAATAAAAAATACATATAAAAATTATTCCAAAAATAATAATAACACAAAAAAATCCAAAAAAAGAATATCACCTATTCATAATTATTTAGAAATAATTGAGAGTGATATTTGTATTTGCAAAATATGTTTTGATAATACCAATACTAATGAACTTGGTAAATGGGAATCATTTACATCTTTATTAACAATTTCACATCATTTTGAAAATAAACACCCAGATACTTATAAAGATTTTTAACAAAAAAATACTTAAATTACTTACTCTTCATATTCAATGATCAATAAAATTGGTAAAGATCATATACAATCTTTAAACCATAATCTACAGTATATCAATTAATTATCAAAAGCCAATTACCATTTTCAATATTTAATAATAATTCTTTTATTAAATATACTACAAATCTTGATCCACAATACAAACTTCCATATTGTCAAACTGTTTTTACAATTATTAAGAACAATTTGAATCTATGAGATTAGAAATTAAAAAGATTTTGAAATCAAACCATAGTAAACTAGCACTTACTATTGACATTTAGATCACATATAATCAACAATAATTTCTTAGCATTACTATCCATTGGATCGATATAGAATAGACAATTAAAATTATTCTTCTTGACTTTATACCTTTACACAAATCTCATACTGATGTATATCTTGGTAAAAAAATATTTAATATTATAGAAGATCTAGAAATAAAAGATAAAGTTATAATAAGTATTATTTATAAGCATTTTAATAATTTATAATATTCTAATAATTTTAATAAATTATTATTATAATAGGGGTTTACCAGGGATAATGCATCTAATAATCTAATATGTTTATACTACCTTCAAGATCATATTAATTCAAATTATATATATATATGATGTGGCACCCATGTTCTAAATATTATGGTTAAATAAGATCAAAAATATTATATTAAACAAGTAAAACAAATACAATCTATTTGTAGTAAAATCAAAAACTTACCTTTATTTTTGAATAAGATGAAAATAATTTTTGTTATTTTTAATTGACCTTTTCTTTACCCTAAACTTGATGTTGAAACAAAATAGAATTCCACCTATTTTATAATGAAATGGTTTATCAAAATTCAAGATATTATTGAAAATCTTATAAGATGTTATCCTATCTTAAAAGAAAATTATTTAAAATTTGAAGATTGAATAATAATTAATATTGGGATAATTATAAGATAGGTTCGCAATCTTGATTGGCTTAACCCATATTTAATTTAGTTATAATTAGTTCACCTATATAATGTATTATATGCATAAGTCTAATTTAAGGACTAAATGTCCCTATTTATAAAGTTCGGACCGAAAGGATTGGACTTTTAACAACCCTACTCACATTGCCTGTTGAGATCTTCTTTTTGCTTTTCTGAACTGACTCGTGTGTAACAGATCTTTTTCTTTTCATTTATTCTTTCTTGGTTTCCAAATATCTTCTCCACATCCACTACAGAATACAACCTGTTGTCACCAGGTGTTCTAATACTCGATATCATCTTGGTTGTTTCACCTTCTCAATGTTTCAGATGAAATTTCGTATGTTTTTTCAAATTTCTTGTGCTCCTTAATACTTTTTCGTTGACATTATCTTGTGTATTTATATGGAGAATTATTTTTGAAAGCGATGAAAATGATAGATGTGTTTTTTTCGGCACCCACTTTAAACAATACATATACAATGTAATTTAAGGAGCACAATTATAGTGTCCGAAAAATCCCTGTCCACCTTCAAAAATAATTACTCATATTTGAATTCAAATTCAGGAATATTCAAATCATTCGAGTTGATTCGGCTCAAACCGCATAGTACCTCCTTGTCATAGATACTTGGATAATTATTTTCAAAGGCGGATAGGGATTTTCCGTAATTGTGATTCTAAAATTTGCACTATATACGTATTGTTAAAGGTAGGTGTCGAAAAATCAAACTCCCTGTCCGCCTTCGAAAATAATTAAACATATTTGACAAAAGAATATTAAATTATCAACAAGATACTTACTATAATTAAAAATAACAGTGCTTGCCGCGCCTGTAAACTCGCCAATTTTCCGATTGCATGATTGGATTGTATATTGTGATATGCAAAGAAATGTATAAAACAGATTTTTCCTTTTGTCTTCATTCTCTTTTGTCTCTGACAAAGGCATGGAGGGTTCTCGATCTGGCTGATTCTTTTTGAAAACAACAAAAATCTTATATACGATTTTTTGATCACTATTTTTGAACAATACATATACAATATAAATTCTAGGAGTACAATTATAAAGTCAGAAAAATCCCTGTCCGCCTTCAAAAAGAATTACCCATCTATTTTGCTAAGTGTGCTGGACCTGTAGTTGATTCGGTGCTTCAATACGGAGAGTATCACATGTTTAAGTAAAACGTATAAACAGGGCTGCGCAGATCGCGACTCTTCTTTTACAAACACTCATGGACGCAAGGGACTACTCACTAGACCCATTTGATTTCGGTGTTAAATACATAAAAGACCATCCAGAAGTGACTGGCAAGGAAGCAAGAGCAGAATACGAAAAATATAAAGACTTCTATGCTACATACCATCAGGACCACCCAGGAGCGACTACCGACTGCTATGTCGAATACCTTCAAACATTCGGTAAGCAAGGTAAGCGACACGCGTTTATTGGGAGGATAGAGGAGCAAGGGGGAGAAGAGTTTGAATGCTGTTACTGGTTTGCGAGAGAGAGGCAGTTGGGCGTTATTAGTTGGGGCAGAGCTACGTCGTAGAGACATTACGAGGTTCGTGGCAGTAATGGAGGTGGTACCGCAGAGAATAGTGTGAATTCACGCATTGGGAGGAGAGCTTAGTAAGAGGAGCTAGATTATATAGAGGCAGTACCGCAGAGAATAGTTCGAATGCATTACGACATGCATTGGAGTTGGGACATAGAGCAGAGTCGTAACAAAGGTTGGGTTATACGTTAACCCGTTTAAAAGCAAATAAGCAATATATGATACGTTTGGGTTAGGTAGAGTAGGAGCAATGGGGGAAGAATAGTTCGAATGCTGTTGTCGCATGCATTCTATGTTTGGTCTTCTGCTTGTCCACATGTCAGCAAACTGTCCGTGAGCTAACCAAATACCTTTTTTTGCACTTTCTGCTCATCTTTAATGACTATCTAGCATTTTTCCGAGAAAAAACATTTGTGACTGCCAACGCGGCATCACCGGATATTAACTTTTACATTCATCCTACGGATATCGTTGAACGCATGGCAAAATCACTCCTCGAACGCAAGTTTGTCCTTTTATTTGGCCACCGGCAAAGTGGCAAGACAACGATTGCACACTCCACAGTGTCATATCTGCAAAATATTTCGCAAAATATCCAAGTTCCTGGTTATGAACAAACTGGTTTTGAAGTATATTACATATCTTTCCAAAGAGGTATTGAATTCGGGAGCACACCACGATTCTGGTGGTCGCTATGTGCGACATTGATGGCCAAGGACAACTCACGGTTCAAGTTCGAGGATGCCAGTCATAGTGCATCATCAGCCACATTCTTGTCATTCTTTTCAAAGCGCCCGAAGAGTCGACAAAAGCCTGTGATGCTCATTATCGATGAAGCTTCTATGCTGTATGAGATCAAAGACACCCCCGGTGGAATTGTTGATCAGTTCATTGGCACATTACGGGCCATCAAAGATGACATTACGGGTTGCTGTCTGCACTCAATTGCTCTTGTGGGTACTGAGTCAGTAAGAGATGTTCTGATCAGCCGACAAGTAAAAGGTCGATCAATTTATTCACCGTATTCTGAGGAGGAATCTTACCAGTCGTCTCGTTTTTCTCAAAATGAAGTCCAGGATCTTCTGAACCAATTTGTATCTGTCAAAAAAATCGAACTCGACGTTAATGAAATTGCTAATGACATCTATGAACTCACTTTTGGACACAAAGGACTTGTCGGCATTTGTGGAAACTTTATTGAGAACACACTATTGAAGTGCAGCCGTACAGTGTCATTTCAGGACTGGAATAAAAATGCAACTAAACTGAGAACATTCGTATGGGGGAAACCAACTTATGATTCAATCATGCGAGCTCTCACAGTCCTCACATCAGCCCAGAGAAACACTCTCGGTAATGTTCTTCGATATGGTTATGATGTTGTTCGGGTAGGTTGGTCGTTGTTGTTGTTGATATCTCGGACTTCATATTTACTTTTGCTTTTGGTTGAAGATGAATGACGAGATAATGTTTCTTCTTGCGGAGGGGATGTGTGTTCGTATTGGCGAAAGCTTTGATGCAATCATAATCCAATGTGGTGCACCTATTCTCAGCAGCATGATGCTTTCCAGAATATGTGGGCCTGCTTTCGCAATCCCAGAGCCACCACAAGAAACTAACAAGCTTGACATTGACTGGTTATTGAGACATACCATCGAGGTAAGTTTTTTACGCGCGCACGCTGTCCGAAAACGCAAGTGGTGGGTCTTAATAATTGAGAACCCTGAAATTTAGTGTTTAAACACCTTTACATAGAATCTTTCTGTGCAACACATTTTTGCCAAACAAACAAGAAATGTAACCAGTGCATCATCAGAATATCCATTCCAGGCCGAATTTGTCACCGTGATCAAGAATCTGCTTGGTTCAGCTTACCCAGACCTGCTCTACCGTGTTCTACCGGAAGTGAAAGAACGTTATGATAATGGCAACCGGCGACGCCGCCTAGACATTCTTATGTGTGATACCAATCTGCCTAGATATGGGTTTGAACTTGTGGTAGCTGCTGACCAGGCCAACTTCGATAAGCATATGGATAATGCTGATGAGTATGGTGAACTTCATAATTGCAAGATGTATTTGATCAATTTGTGCACCAGAGAAGATCTTACCAACTACTTCGGAAAAACATGGATTCAGGAACGTGTAACGCCTGTCCATGTGTTGTATGAACTCGAAGGGAAGGCATCTTTGATTTACAAACACCAGACGATTTCCGTATTAATCACCAGCGCGACATGGTCAGTAATATTCGATGACACACCAGTTAATTCTCTTGAATGGTAGGATCTCGAGCTATTTTACACTAAACAGCATGCTTTTTGTGCATTTTTCATTCCCATGTTTGCATGTTTTGCAATCACGAACATTTTCTTCAGTCCTAATTTAGACAGCAATACACTGATCTCGTATTCTTCGTATCAATCCTACATATTCTTTCTGATTCTTAGTTGTGAGCCAATCATATCGAAGACAAAGTAGCCAGGTGATCGCTAAATAGTTATAGTTGAAAAAACAAATAGATTAAAAAAGAGATAAGTGCAATTTATCTGAGAAAATCGAAAGTTAAATAAAAAGCTACGAACAATAAAATTATATATATAGGATTACCTGTATATGAATAATAACGAATACAATGGTTCCACCGAATATGAAAAAGCAGTGCGTTTCTTGGAGACAAAATGTGATTGTTCAAAAATGATTACGAGAGAAAAGTTTGCCGAATTACGTGAAGCGTAAGCCCTCTCTAGATCCAAACAAGATATATTTTTAATAGCCCAGCTGAAAGCAATGAATGGGGGAGAAAAAACTGCCAGTCAACGTCTTAAAAAGAAAACGTGTACTAATAAGCGAACTTTTTATTATCGAGATCGTGATACATACGGTGCAAATTTAGAATTCAGGATATCAGATATGGGTAATTGGCGACAAAAATGCTAGTATAATTTTTTGGGGGTGAGGGGTTAGGGTCCGTAATTTAAAGTACCAATTTGTATCTAATTATATTGTGCATATTGGTACACTTGATCTCTCCATCCTTGTTGAAAATGACGAACTCCATGAAGATCCTGACAAACTTATTGAAATTATTATTAACCACTTCAAAAAAATTCTTGAACCCAAACCTTTCAACATAGATTAATCTTGGCACAATCAATATCTATCCAAACATTCTATATCAGACAACATATTTGATACAACTACTAGCGAAATATCACTTACTGAAATTGACAAAGTTTTATCCAATCTACCAAGGTGAAAAGCACCTGGTTTCACATATATTCCTTATGAGGCTTGGTCTAACTTAGGCATCACAGCGAGGAAACAAATAAAAAAACTTTTTAACAGGGTACTCTCTACATCCCAACCTCCAATACACTGGAAGCAATTAACCATTACACTTCTTTCCAAAAAATTACTTGGTCACATGATCTTATCGATACTCGCCCTATCTCACTTATCGAAACCAGTTGGAAAATTTTCACAAAAATTATCAACAAGTGCATCTCAGTCATCATTATTAACAAAAAAATTCTTTCCAGTTCTAATTTTGCAGGCCTCAAGAATCAAAGCACTATGGAACCCATCACAATCATCACATCCGAACTTGAAACTGCCAATAATCTTGGAAAGAAACTCTGGATCTCTTTTTTTGACATATCCAAAGCTTTCGACTCTGTAAACCTTTTCAGCCTGGATGCAGCCATAAGAAGAATCAAACTTCCCTCCCAGACTATCTCACTGGTGTCAAATCTTCTTAGCAATAGAGAACTCCAAATAATTTCACACTATAAACTAACTGACCCTCTCAGCACTAGCAATGTAATTGATCAAGGTGAAACTCTAGCTCCACTTCTATGAACCATCTTCTACAATTCAATGGTCACTCAGATCACTAGTCTCACACCATTACACTCAAAAATACTTGCTTATATGGATGACGTCGCCTTACTCAGTGGCTCTCTCAGTTCCCTCCAGAACACCACAGATATCTTCTGCTCCTTTATTAAACTCAATTCTATCAAATGCAACAAGAAGAAAACTGATCTTATCACAATCTCAGTACTAGAAGCCTTCTCCGCAACCAAGTATTATATGTTGAAGATAAACCAATCAAGGCCAAGCCTCGCCATAAGGCAATTTGATATTTGGGCATCTACCTCTCTGGCAAATCAGCATCAATTCTAATCAAAGCCAAGCTCAAGAAAAAAGTATACAATTTCACTAACACCATTTCAAGCCAAAAAGAATGGAACAGATCTATCACAAGATAAGCATTTCACTGGATTATACCAATACAATTAGACTATGCAGCTCAAGTAGCAAACTTAACAGAGACAGACCTCAGCTATCTCCAGTCAAAAATGAACAAGACAATCAAAAGCAAATTAGGTGTTGAACAAACAATTTCTGACAAAATTCTTTTCTCACAGGCAGGACTCAATATTATCAAACTCAAGAACAGAAAGGACCTTACCACTATTAAATTACTTACCACTAGACTTGCAAACTCAATAACCTTTCCTCACATCAAAAAAGAAATAGAATCTATACAAGCGACAAGCGCTATTTGGTCATGCCCTATATGTGATCCTTTCTATTTCAAAAAAACTTGGCTAACTTCTACGACCTATTTGACAAAAACATATAATATCAATATTTGTTTGTCCCCCTATCCCTTTGAAATTTCTAATCATTAACAATCTATTGGACTTCTTATCAAGATCAATAGGGCAACCACTCTCATACTATACTATTCTAATCTCAAAACAGTACAAAACACCTATATTTTCAATTCCTATAACAAACTTTCTTGGAAAGAATTACACACACACCAGGGACTCATTCCCCCTGGCCCACACCTCTCTGGTTCAAAAACATACCTCAATCAAGTAATACAATTGTTTGAAATACCTTGCTTGTACCTAATTGCAAATCTCAATTCTGGGCTTACTTAAACACCTCAAATACTATTAATCTCATCAAAACCAGGCTCAATGCAATCCCTTGACAAACAATTATGGGTTTACACTTTCTAATCACCAACTTGAAACAACTTAACAGATGTAATTGTACCAGTTAATCTTGCCTTAAAACAGCTAACATCAACCAACTCAAATTTGTTTGGTTGACAAAAAGAAATAACAACTTCTTCATTCTTAACAACTTAAAAGAACTAACAGCCAGCCTCACCTCTATTACCAACCAGGCAGCAGTTGTATCCATACTCCCTCAACCTCATTCTTCACAATCCATTAATTATAGTATATACTTCATAAATGAGAATCATATTTCCATCTCCAAATCTCTAAAACACACCACTTACAAATTTAATGCCAATCCCTTAGCTCTTTTTTGGCCCATTATAACTTCACTACTCTTGGAAGCCCCACTGCTTTTAATGGTTATATGCTACTCAATATACAAATTCAATACTAAATCATCTGAATATATTAATCGTCAAGTCAAACAGCCCTATAGTCATTTCATAAAAACAATTAATAATGAACTTAATACCAAACAAATTACTCTCACCTGGATCTTTGACAAAAACCAATTTTCAACAAGTTTTCCTCAAAGTACTTCAGAACCTATACCAACAATACATCCAATTAATCACACCACATTACCATTGATTAATCACAACTATGCAACAAGCACTACACAATGGATCAAATTCACAAACCATTATATCAATCTCTTCAACATTCTTATCAGTTCATTCACAACTTATAAATCCAAATCTCTTTCTGAATTAAACTTAATTATCAAATCCAATAAAGAACTCAAGTCGAATGACAACATTAGTTACATATCTTTGGCTACTTTCAGAACAAAATTGATAGCAAATCAACTTTCAACCAGGAAAAAACTTCATAGCAAATACCCTCAACTCTATAATGATGACTTATGTCCACACTGCGACATATATTCAGAAGACCTTATTCACATTTTCACATGCCACCAAAGCTTGTCAACTTTAGAAAAAAAAAGAAACAAACTTGAAGCAATAATTATTATTAACATACCTAAAGAAAAACTCAACTTAGCTGAAGCAAACCAACTATTTCTTATTAATCTAAACGGATCCTATCTTCTTAATCTCGCTTTAGACAAATTTGCTCCACCATTTAACATTCTTCAAAAAAAAGAAGAGATCTCAAACTATTCTCTCAAAGCCTTATACAAAATCTGGAAACAGCATTCAGCTACTACCACTACTTCAGCATCCTCTGGTATTAAATGGAAAAAAACCAATACCTCTAATGAAACTATCAATACCAATTTATGAGCTTTTAACACTTTTCAAAAAATACTAAATACTTTAGAAGACTCTAACAATCTTACTGACAAAAAAATATTCACTTCAGCTATAGTTTCATTATTTTGAATAGGCATTAGCCATTCAACATCTTTAACATATAAAAGACCTACTTGGTTCCCAATACGTGTTAACTAATTAGTTGCAATAGGCTATAATTAATTTATTTACTTTATAAACTAAAGATTGTTAATGTAATAATGATAAATCAATGTTTAATAAATATCTTGCATTTAATGCCTGTTTATGATTTAAAAAAAATACTAATAATAAATATACTTTTTACCTTTATTATTAAGAAAGTTGAATAAATTCATATATGTTTTCTTTATTTTAATTATTCTTTTTATTTTTTATTTTAATTATTTTTTTAATTTCAATTATCTTTTTTATCTCAATTATTTTCATTATGATATTCAATATAAGATTATGTAGAAAATTACTTTTTTTTATAACAATAAATAATAGATAAATAAATAACAAATTATAATAAATTCTATAATAATATTATATTTAATTAGTAAAAAATATATTTATAAATGAAAAATAAACTTTCTTCTGATCACATCCATTTTGTTAAAAATTTGCTTTTATAGTAATTTTAATTAAGAAAAATGTTTTATTCTCTTTATCACAAGTAAGCCTAGCTCAGAAACTCAAGAACTTTCAAAATAACTGGTACAGTGAGATGTGACCTCTAGTCAAAGTCTATTCAAGTTTGGGAGTCTTGCTTATTCTTTGGTTGCATGCAAAAAGGCCCATGGCAGTTCTCTTTTCTTCAGTTCTCTTGCACTTCTCCTTATTCTTATTATATTATAAAAACTATCTATACTGTTACACTTGATCTTCACCTAAGATCATCACTACCCCTTGTTCAATTTTCACTAGCATTTACCCTTGAAATGTTATCTATTCTAGAATCATTCTTGTATTACTATTCTTGTTATTGTTTAGCACTGTACTT